CCTAGGAGAGGAGGGCAGGCTGGACCACCTGGGCCCTAGGAGAGGCCGCCACTCAAATCGAGGCTGGGGTATTCAAAGCACCTGTGTCCCCTGTCCCCAACTCAGGCTTAAAACCGAGGCAACAGATGAGCACTTAAAGCTGAGTTTAAGTGTCTGTTAACCAGCGCAAACACTCCAGGATGGATTCTGTGCTGGAAAAGGAGAGAACAGGGCCCTCCCTGGTGGGCAGCGGGTCGGGGCGCAGCACTGCAAGCCGCGCAAACGCTTCAGTGCCAGTCTGACCCCCGCCCGCCCCGGAGCTGACCCACAAGGCGCGGGCCTCTCCCGGCTCGCCCGCTGATCTACCTGTTGTGCTCCCCACTGTCTCTGGTGAATCCCTCTCACCACCCCTGAATCTCTGGTCTGTACCCCAGTTCTGTATGCATAAATAAATCTTTTAAAAAAAGAAAAGAGAACAAGTCCCAGCCCGTGACCCGACATCAGGTCTAATGTGTCGCTGTCCGGACCGAGGGCTCTAGGCGGGAGGAGACAGCAGACTGGGAAGCTGGCCCAGAGCTGTGGGCTGGAGCCCCCCCAGGATGGCAGGAGGGGAGTCCTGACCGGCGCTGGCCCTTCCGCGCCCGACTGATACCCGACTGCCCCGGGACTGCCCTCCCCTTGCCGGTACCAGTTCAGCAGGTACAAAGCCAGCAGCCCAGAGGGGCTGTGCTCATCAGCCGGGCGCAGCCTGCGTTATATGAAGAGACAGAACTAACGCACCATAACTGTTGCAGGTAGGGGAAAACAAGCCCCGAGGGGACGCTCAACCAGCAGAACTGTCAGACAGGATGGAGGCCTTCAGGCCATGGAACAGAGGCCGAGGAGAGACTCCGGGGACCTGAGGCAGTTAAAGTCAGAAGGAATGGAGCTAAGAAATACTATAATCAAATTTTTAAACACAAAGGCCTCCACGGATAAGCAGATCAACAGATAAATGCCGGCAACGGAGAGAATTAATGAGCTCGAAAGCACCATGTCAGAGCACACACAAATAGAACAACAAAGAGAAAAGAAAATTTTAAAAATGAAAATGGTTTCAAAGCCCTTTGGGAGAGGCTAAAGAGAAATAGCATCTACATGCCAGGATCCCAGAAGGAAAAGACAAAGACAAAGGCGCAGACATTTTATTTAATGAAATAATTGCTGAAAATCATCTCATTCTGGAAAATAAACCAGATCTGATCCAGGAGACCCAGAACCCCAGCCAGGCACATCACAAAGCTGTTGAAAGCCAGCAACTAAGACGGAAGACTGGCAACATCAAGACAGAAAAGTGTGACCCACGATGGAGCGCGGTCGGCTGCCAGCAGACTCCTCAGAAGAAACTTAACCAGCATAAAGGGACTGGCAGCAGAGACTTAAAATGCTTCAAGCAAAAAAGATTTCCAGCCTAGAATCCTTTGACCTCCAAGATTAACATTCGAGAGAGAAAGAAGAGTCAGGTGCGTGGGGTTCTATCAGATTCCCTGTCATAAGCCAGTGTTGCCTCAGTGAAAAAAAACACCAGAGAGGTTTCCTTAATCATTTTTACAACATGCCAACCTTACTCTAATACAGAGACCAGCTACAGACAGCACAAGAAAAGATAATTCCGTCAGATCAATATCACTAATGAACATCAGTGCAAAGATCTTCTAGAAAATCAAAATCAACATCACATCACAAGGTTTATCTATCGTGAGCAAGTGGGATTTATTTCAGGATACAAGAATGGTTTAATAGATGTAAATAAGTCAATGTCCCACACTACATCAGAGTGCTACCATAATAATACGGTAATATCAACAGATGCAGAGAAACCATTGGATAAGATTCAGCACTCATTTATGATTTTTAAACTTTAAGGTAGGTATAGAAGAACCCGACTTCACTATAAGAAAGGCCATATATCACCGGCCAGCAACCAACAAAATACACAGTAGTATTATGAAAACTGAAAATTTTCTCCTTCAGACCTGGAACAAGACAAGATGCGCACAGTCACCACTCCAGTTTAACGAAGTAACAGGGGTTAAGGCCAGTGCTATCAGACAAAAATAGGAAATAAAGGGAATGCAATTTGGAAAAGTGGAACTAGCAGTATTCACGGTGATATGATATTACATATGGAAAATCCTACAGATGTCACCGAAAAGTTATTAGAAATGACAGATGAATGCAGCAAAGTAGCAGGTTACAAATCAATACACAAAACTTCCTTGCTTTTTTATATATAAGCAATGAACAAGAGAAATTAAAAGAATTCTGCTTATACTAGTTTCAGAAAGAATCAGATACCTCAGAATTAACCCAACTAAAGTGGTAAAGGACCTAGCCAGCGAGAAGTAACGTGGTATTAAAGGACGTAGGTAGCTTCACAAGGAGGTGGAAGGCTATCCCATGCTCACAGATGGGGAGAGTCAACAAAGTGACTACCTAAAATGATATGTAAATTTAATGTAAATGCCATCAAAATATCAACAATAGTTTTCAAAGAAGTTGAACAAAAAACATTGGAATTTACATGGGTACAATCAAAGGCCTCAAACTGCAGAAGCAATCCTGAGAAAAGGGGAGAAAAATAGAAACAGCATGTTACCAGACACTGAAATTAACTAAAAAGCAAATTTAACTAAAAACAAGATGGTACCGGCACAAAAACTGACGTGTGGCTCGAGGGAGTAGAATCAAGCCCAGTAGTAAATCCACACACATAGCAGCCGTGACCACACAGGAGGGAAGGGGCCGCAGTAGATGGCGCTGGGAGAATTAGAAAACCACTTATAAAAGAATGAAGCGGAATATCTAACTCCCTACACCAAAGTGAAGTCCACATGGACTTTCAAAATTAGATACAGAGCTTACGACAATAAAACATAGAGAACATTAGCAATCTGTTCCATGACAGCAACAAGGAGGTGCTTGTGGAGACTCAACCCTATAGCAAGGGAAGTAAAAACGAAACAACCGGGATGACCTCAAGTCAAACAAAAAAAGAACTTCCAGGACTGTAAGGTTACAAGACTGAGCAGACACCCTGTTGGAGCGACACTGTCAAGCCTCGCAGGAGAAGCAACACAGGGAGAAAAACGTGAAGGGGTGTAACAGAGGCCCCGGTTCCAGCGAGGAGGGGCTGACCCCCATAATCGGAGGGCCCCCTGTCCATACCTGAGGGGCCCAGGTCCCACTGCAGGCCTCGGGCATCTCTTCGAGTAGAAAATGCTCCCTGAAAAACAGAGTGAGGGGTCTCATGAGATGGGCGTGCCCCCCGCCAGCAGAGCACCCTAGCCCCAACCAAGCCCTCCTTCGTCGCTAGAGACAGGCCAGGAAGCGCATCCCCAACCTGCCCTCGCTCCTCGGTCTCAGCTGTCCCCGTGCCCACCGAGGCCTGCCTGCCTGCCCACCACCCGCCGCTGCCGAGCCTCAAAGCCTTCGCCCTATCCAGAGGATGGTCTGTATTCTCCTGCACCTGGCATATGCTGTTCCCTGTGCCTGGATGCTGTTCCTTGCACTGTTCTCCTGGGAACTTGTATTCACCCATCAGGGCGAATATTCCAAACGCCACTTCTCAAAGAAGTGCTCCCGCCACGACCAGCTTCTGTAGTGCTCTTTTTACCTTCCCTGGGAGGGCTAGTGTCTAAATCTAAAGCGGCCAGAACAGGGTCCAGGGGATCTGTGCAGTTTGGGAAAGAGGACAGGAAAAAGCGGGGGAGGCGAGAGATAACCCTCTAGCTTCGAGAAAGAGGTAGAAGGAAACGTTAGGGGTCAGTTCGGGAGGCAGCACCTGGGCACATCCCTGCCACGGTCCCTGTCCCCGGAGACCCAAAGAGGCTAACCTGGCCGAGGACCCCGAGGGCACAGGGCTGTGTGAGGGCGAGCCTGGAGTCCACCAGCCCGCCCAGGGGTGGCTCCTTGCCCGGGATGCTGTTGTAGTAATTGTGTTCCGCCTCCTCCTCGTCCCCCCAGGCTGACTCCTCTGGGCCGCTCAGCCTGGAGACAGACAGACAGCAGGAGCACAGGCAGGCCCAGCATTCGGGGCACAGGGAAGAGGGGCCTCCCGGGGTACCCAGTCTTGCGGCTGGAGCTCTGAGGTGACTGGGACAAGCCAGGCCACGGTCTGGGGCATCCCTCCTGCCCCTGGGTGGGCGGGCACCCCTCCTGCCCCTGCAGCTAGCCGACAGCAGGGCCTCGGGGAAGCTGGACTCTGCTTCTTCCCGCCTCACTCAGCCCTGCTGGGACCTGCAGCCAGGGTCGCAGTGGCCTCCACGGCCCCTCGCTGCTGGCCTGGGGACGACGCCCTGTCAGCAGGGCCCCGCCAGGCACGGCCGGGCACTGGGCGCTCATGCTGCTGTGTGGGTGGGGCACACATCTTCCAGTTCCTTCCGTGTACATCCAAATCTTTATCAACGAACTGGTATTTCAGCAGCTGAGGGCGGGGGCCAGGGCGTGTGGCACTGCCGTGGCAGTGGCTTGGGGTTGAGAACGGCTTCCATATTTGAAAGCCACAAAGAAACATCCAAAGGTCAGCCGTCGGCGGCCAGGGAGTCACGGGAGATTCAGATTCTGGTGTCCATGGATAGGGCTGCTGGCACGAAGCCGGCCCGCCCTCCGAGTGTGCCCACAGCGGCTCCCCGCCTCCGTGGCCTGACCAGAGAGAGAAGGGCCAAGCCCCCGCCAGGCCCGGCCCAGGGAGGGTGGGGGGAGGCAGCCGGTACCTTCCCAGAGGTCCCACCACCTTGGGCGGGCTGTGCAGGTACTGCTTGAAGCGCAGCTCGAAGGCTTGGCCCACGGTGCTGATGACGCTCTGCGCCAGGCCCCCGCAGCACTCCAGGATGTGGCAGGCTGGGAGGGCACCGCGTTGTGGGGTCAGGGCCCCCGGCCAGCCAAGGGCCTCCGGCACCCCGCCCAGCCCCACGGCACCTCACCTCTCTGGTTGATGGGATCCTTGGCCACATAGGCCACGTAATCTGTCATGTCCTGGGGAGAAAGTGGGCAGGTGGGAGGAGCCACCAGCCTGGACACCCCAGCAGGTCTCCCTGGCTGCCACACCCAGCGGGGCAGGACAGAAGGGCCGAGTCCACTGGAGCCCTGGCCTTACCGTGTCGCCGCCAGACGCGAAGGAGATGGACTGCATGTGGTGGTTGGCGATGATCTGACCAAAGAGAGACATTCATATCACAAGGGTCCCCCTTTTCAGGGCCAGGGGACGCTGGGGTTCAGGGCAGTCTCTGGACAGAGCCACAGGGAGGGAACTGGGAAGAGCTACACGATCTGGGCAACAGGGGGACCCAGAGTCCAGCCAGACGGGCGCCCCCAAGCCAGGCGCCCCCAAGCCAGGCCCGCTGCAGCGGCCTCGGCAGCCAAGCGCGTGGGGGAAGGGCCCGGCCCTCCCCGGGGGGCACACTGTCTCGGGCCTGGCGGCTGGCCGGGGTCTGCCCGGCCGCCCTGCCGAAGCGGCAGCCACTCCCAGGCGCCCCCAAGCCAGGGGCTGCTTGAAGAGGATGGAGCGGGCTGGGACAAGCTGGGGCACAGCAGCCCCAGAGGCGGCATCTGAGGTCTCACACCTGAGTGTGGTGGCCCCACCGGCTTGGGGGAGCACAGAATCCCCCTTCTTGTCCTGCTGGCGAGCAGCCCCCTGCCCCTGCTGGCGTTTCTGCGTCCGCAGGTTCTGTGTCTCTAGGTCTCTGCGCCTCAGACGAGGGGTGCACATTGCAGGAGTACCCTGAGATGACAGGAGCAGGGCGGCCTGGGCGGTCACGTCGGCGGAGGGCTCCGCCCTGCTGGAGGTCACCCAGGCCCCTCATGCTCATGTCTTGCTCTCTGTCCTACTCTTCTTCCTTTCTCCTTCCTCTGTCCCTTCCTCCCTGCCCTCCCTGTCTGCCTCCCTCTGCACAGCGAGGGGGCTTCCCCCTCTGTCCCTGGAATAACACAGAACACAGACTCTGCCCTACAGCATGGCGTGAACATCCTGGGGCAATTACTAGATTCTTGCAGCTTTCAGCCATGAAAGCGAAAATGAGCTACATAAAATAAATCAAAATTTCCTCTCACTTTAATCACCCCTGTGCTGTCTGCATACCAGGCAGGATACGCTGTTAGAGTTCAGATGTTTTCTTCTCCTTATTTTTTACGGCTTGGATGTCAGGAATAAATTATACCGTACATGAAGAAGGTGTTCTACCATGGAGTTCTTTGGCGTTTGGAAAGGCAGCTCCACTCAAATAGTTTATTTAGGAAGATGGCTTTATGTAAACTAGCAAAAGGTCTGTGGCGTTTTTTCATACACTTGAACAGATGTAATAAAGCTAACAC